TGCTACAGTATCAGCACAACATGCTTGGATACACAGAACAACAGAAAGAGCCCTGAATGTGTCCAGACAGCTGCAATGCAGGGCAAAGCTGGTGGAGCCATTTTGTTGAATAAACTTTAAAAACAAAAAAAAAAAAAAGAAGAAAGAAAAGTGAGCAGCTCTTGTAATTTATTCAGTCAGCAGATAGTGTGGTAAAGTGGAGAAATAAAAGTCATACAACGTCAAGATGTAAAGTTTACAACCTACAGGTGAGGTCATCAAACACTCACCTGTCTGACCACACCTGTGACCTAAAGGTTAAAGTTACACAAAGACAACTGTTGAATGGCTTCTGCTGCTTATAACAGTAACGTGACTCCACTGTCTTAACCCAATGGGAACAGGTTGTTTTTAAAATCATCAGTTAACTAAAATTAGGTCATAAAATTACCAGGTAATGGGAGGCGCTGACAACTTTAGTAAGGGTGAGGCTGTCAAATACGAGTTTAACCTTCATTTTTATTCTTTCTCTTCTCTACAATAACTCTCAGATACCTGAAATATGAGCTTTTCTTAAGGTGTGCCAGTATTGAAGCTACAGGTTACTGAGAAACGTCCCCAGTGCAGTAACAGGTAAAACGAGCATTTCCACTCACGGAGTTTGTTCCTGAGTCCAGGGCTCGCTGTTCTCGACTCTCTTCCCCCTTCGGCTCACCTCGGCTCAGTCAAAGTGTGGCTATTGTTTCGCTGGGGCAACCGGTGGTTTCTTCATCCAGCCATTAGGGACTTCATGCGGCTCCGGTCGTGCTGCTGCTGCTCCTGCTGTTGTATCCGAGCCCATCCCCCATCCACACCGCCGGGGAGAGACCGATAAAGTTTACCGCTTTCCACCTTCACCGTCAGCACATTCAAACTTTCCTCCGGTGCCTCGGCGGGAGTAGAGCCCGGTTAGAGTCCCCTTCCCATCGCCGCCCCGGGTTTGTGTCCACAAACTTCTCGTCGGGGGCTCGGAGCCTGAACTGGGGCGGACGGGAGGTATTATTTTACCCGCCTTGGATCTGGCTCAACTCTTCAGGCTGCTAATACAGGAGCCCGCCCCTGAACCTGAATACCTTGCAGCCGACCTATCCGAAACACCGCCCCCGTTAGCCGCTTAGCATCACCGGATACACCTCACTGCACGACCACGGCCCGCCGAACCCACCCAGAACCACACTTTAATAAGGTTAGACAACTTCCAGAACATCTCCATCTAAAAAGGAAAGCTGGAGAATGTCTTCTCTGTCAGCTGTGAGCCTGCCATAGTAGATCCTACATTTCCCACAATGCAACGAGGAAGCAAAGCTGTTCACACACATTCTTTGGCTAATTAATAGACGTAGGTAGAGTACCCACAAATTGTACTCGAGTAAAAGTAGCACTTCTTCAACATATTTTACTCAAATAAAAAGTAGCCGTCCAAGAAATTAATCAAGTAAAAAAGTATTTGGTAAAAAGTCTATTCAAGTACTGAGTCACTGATCAAATTATTAACCAATGTTTAAAAAATTACATCAGATTTAAACATGCTTGTTTTTCAAGGGGTAGAGCATCCAGAGAATCTTCTCAAGTAATGCCTGTAGGAGTGATAAAAACACTCTTCAAAGTAAATTTTTCAAAAAGGTTACTCAAGTAAATGTAATTGAATAAACAACTAATATACAAGTAATCATTTCCAAGTTGATAAAGCGATAGTTTTAAAAGATGTTTTGGATCTTTTTTTCTTAAAAAATAAGCGGTATGTGAAAATTACATGAAAAACAACAAGAACAAGCAATTTTAACACAAATGCAGTGGTGTCACTAAGACAGATTGGGGTTTGGGCATGGGGGAACCTTAACATTTTATACTTTTACTCTTTTATTATTTAATACTTGAACTCAAAAGAGAAAATCATAAATTTCCACAGTTGCGACACTCATTTATAATTATAAGCTGTTTATTTTTGTCTTTTCTGTATACCCTAAAAATAATAAATACAGATCGCATATTTATAAAATCAAAGTCACAAAATTAAGATTATTTTTAAAATATAGATCAAATCAGCTTGCTTATTTATTTATTTAGCTTTTTTATTTTCATAGGAATGTGTGTTCAATTGAATAAAATGACACTTTACAATTTAAAAAAAAACATTTTTGCAATGTCTGTCCAAAGTTGGGCTTTTACTTACATGAAAACAGATTATTGCACAAAATTTAAATTGCAAATGCAATGCAGAGACAAAAGCTATCACTGCTTCAGTCCAATGATACAAAACCAAAAATATTCAGCCAGATATTATTTATCTGACTATTTCTAACAATTTCTTACAATTTTCACAGAAGCAGCAGCTCTAAGTGGAACTGAAAGGTTGCTGAACACTCGAGGTGTCGTACCACGTGAACAGTTGAATGTGGTTCTAAAATTTAATGGCATTTTCAAAGTTCATCACATTTGGTTTCTTAAGAAAACGACAGCAATGTGACCCACAAGCCGTCGAATCCAAGATCTTAATCATCTAATTATGTATCATTTTCAGTGATAACCGTAGAGCAAATGAGAAAAAATCAAATGAATGCATGAAAATATTTGCAGCATGAAATGATAAACAAACTCTAATTAGTCTGAAGAAAGAAATGTTTGCCTTTGCAAACTCTACTATATCTATTAAATATCTTAGTAACCTTTAAAAGAGGATCAAAATGACATCAAGATATTTTACTTCTAATTTGTTATAAGTGACAGGGAAAAAATATTTGCCTCCTTCCACATTTTGTCTGGCTTTTGTCTAAACTTTCAGATAATCAAAAATAACATAACTACAATAAATTCAAACGTCAACATTCTTAAATGAGGAATTAATTTATAAAAAGGGAAGAAACCCAATCAGTCCATGTGTGAAAAAGCAATTGCCTCTCAAACCGAATAACTGGTTTTTCCGCTTGTGGAGGCAACAACCAGTATAGAGTGTTTGTGAGTCATTTTTTATTACTATGGAGGAAATTTGGCCCACATTCTTTACATTATTGTTGTAATTCAAACATATGAAAGGGCTTTCAAGCATGAACAACTTATGAGTATCAGTGACATGACTTTTGTTTTCATTATAGAGTAAATCTGCTCTCACATGTTCTGTCCCACTCAGATACAATCCGTTGAGCTGCTGGATTGTTGGTCAATAAACATTAAAAGTTGAGAAATAAGAGCAACTATTCAGCATTGGTGTGGCACAGCTTTGAACTTTAAAACAGAATTTCTGTTTGTATTTCCTCTGGCTTGTCCTTCGTAAACTTCCCATATGTTTATGAGTAAACAAGGGAAAGATGAAAGAACTTTGACAAAATGTGTTTACAAAGGCATTGGTTACTTTACATGATTGTTTCTAAAGCCTGCTAATCTGGATGTTTGGTTTGTCATTTCCTCATATTTTACTGTTTGGTTACGACAAAACGAAGAATTAGCGTGTTTCAACTCAACATCAAATTCTTTGAAAAAATGTTTTTTCTATTTTTGCGTTCTTATTCTAAACAAGGCTGTCCTTTAGAGTCATTTTGAGTAAAATAGTATTTAATATTTGGATTTGTCAGGTTGCTCTGAACAGATCGTAAGCCCAGCTACATTTACAGCTGCATCTGAAAATTGTTTAATATGACTGCAGCCGTTCAGACATCTTGAAAGGTGAGACGTATAGTTTATGTGTGTCGACCTGGTAATTTGGTATTTGACACCTAAACCTTCAGTTGCTACTGGGTCCTCGTCATGCAGTAGATGCATGACGGGAACTTCGCCCACATATGTGAAGGCAGATGTAAAACTTAACTTTGTGGTGTTGTTTCTTTGGTTGAGAGACTTCCAGGATTGGGCAGAGGTCGCAAAAAAATACTCAAGTAAGAGCATAACGACTTTGACATATTTTTACTTAAGTAGAAGTAAAAAGCAGCCTTCTGAAAAATCACTACAGTACGAGAAAAAAAGTCTACTCACATACTGAGTAACTGATCATAGAAAAATGAGTGTCTTTCAGTAAAAATCTTACAAAACTTTAAGAAAAACAGCAGGTGTGTGTCTGTGAAGTTTTGGTTGAAACATTTAATTTTCATTTAGTGGGTAAAAAATCCAGAAATTTTACTAAACAAAAGCAGATACTTTATAATAAAATAACTCAAGTAAAAGTAAAACGTACAGCATAGTAAAAATAATCCTAAAAGTAAATTATTTTCAAAAATAATACTCAAGTAAATGTAATTTACTCAATTTAGTAACTACTGGTAGTTACGTCCCAACTCTGGATACGTTTAACAATAACAGGTTTGTGTTATGCTTGCAGGCAGTCAGACCAGTTTCTGTACTTCTGCTTAACAAACTGCCCTCTAAATGCTGCAACTTTCAAAACCAAGGTCACAGTTATTCTAATTTCAAGGAAATATTCAATACCCTTTTTTTCTTCTGCTCACCAAATATTGCAAAAACCAACAAGTTGCTTTACAAGACTGTGAACAAAGAAGTAGACCTTCAACAAAGTGAAAAACCAGTAAATCGTTCTTATGAGTTTCATTCAAAATTGTAAAAAAAAAAGAATGGTAGCCTTTACTTTACATGGTGGAATGGCAAGTAGCTGTTCTACTAGCCAATTTTGCTAATAAAGCAAAAGACTGTAATTGATTTTTTTGAATTGAGGCCAATCTCTGTGGACTTCTAAAACAGATTAACTTTAAATTAGCTCCAAATAATAGACAATTTCCAGCTCTAATGGGACTAATCTGTTGACACTGCTCACTGTTTTACAAGTGAAATTATAACAAGCACTTAATGAGAACTCAAGCGAAGATCAGTAGGGCTGGAAAATTGTCCACCCTACGACTCATTTTGAAAAAACCAACAGCTGTTAAAATAAAACTCTTCTGCCATTTTCACCAGCAGGATTCATTTAAAAAGTATAAAACTGACACACATTTGTGATAAAGCATATAAATACTTGAAAGATGACAGTAATTGCCTACCTTCAGGCCTGTACTGAGCAATAATGGTGACAGTCTGTCCAGCTCTCTTCAGGGCTGCAGCCGCCTGTTCATGAGTGGCGTTCCTAAGGTTCACTCCATTCACCTGCAAAAAAAAATTAATTAAAATAATTCTGGGAAAAATAGAAATGTTTTCAGCTTTATGGATAATACTCAATTTAGATACAAAGCAAAAGTCCTCAAACTTATTTAATAAAAAATTTATTTTGTTTCAGCCATAAATTTCAGTTTATTTTATTGGGATTTTATGTGACACACCAACACAAAAGTAGGGGATAATCATGACGTGGAAAAACAAAAATAATTAGATTATTTTGCAAAGAATACAAAAGTGCTTTTTAAAAATGTTTAAACATGGTGGAGACACTCCAAAACATCTACAGCTACATAAAGAAGAGAATATCGAGTACAAATGCAGGGCATACTTTCCTGGGATGTTTGGAAAAAAGGTAGCAAACCATGTCTTAATTTCCTTACTATTTACTACTTTGAGTTCTTTGTGGTTGTAATTAGACTACATGTCAAAAAGCTTAAGGAGTATGAATATTTTTGCAAATCAGTTCTTGATTCCAACATTTTAACAGCTTTAATCTTAACCTCTAATATATGATGAGCTCCCAGATTCCTTCATATTTAGATTACATTTCTGATGTCTTAAAGGGGACCTACAATGCAAAACTCACATTTTAACATTTTAAAACTAATTTAAATCCCTACTGCTTCTAAAAGCAGCCTAAGCATAAAAAAACAAAAAACACCCAGCTGTTTTTTTGGCAATAAGTTAATGTGTTTTGGTGTTAGAAATGAGCTGTTTCAATAACCTCTTAACAGCTCAGAATAGGCAGAACTGAGTAGACTCAAATCTCTTTAACTAAGAATGATTTTCTGCATAAAAGAGTGGCAAACATGTTTTGTATTGTCCATGGACTTATTCTAACCTGTTCAAGGTAGGGTAATAGGTCATGTTTAAATATTATACTTAATGTGTTGCTGGACTGAACTAAAAACAGTCATATTTTTAAGCATCATTGGATTTTGTGCAGAGAGCAGCTTGGCTCCCTCAGAGTTGTCATGGATTTAATGTCTTGCTCAAGGACATATCTGCGTGGGCAGGTGTTTGCAGGCTTTCTGAACGCCAGGCCACCTTTAATTCTATCATCATTATTTTGACAGCAGGAGCTGGTTGAAAATCTCACTTCCTCCAGCTTGTTACAGTTGTGGATGAGGGCAGACAGGAAGCTTGGAGTTCAAATACTGACCGACAGGATCCGGTCGCCCCTCCGCAGCTCGCCGCTCAGGTCAGCTGGCCCTCCAGCCAGGATGAAGGAGACAAAAATCCCCTCTCCATCCTCCCCGCCGACAATGTTGAAGCCCAGTCCGGTGGAGCCCTTGTGCAACACCACCTTCCTCGGCTCCCTGCCAAAGAGAAAGAGACGGTGCGAGGGTGAAGGACAGGATAGAGTAAATAGACAGAATATACCACAGGAGATCGATATATGCAGGGTGTTTTCAAACAACAGCCATCTTTGCTTTGACTGTGCATGATACCAAAATGTTTAGAACACTCAATATTGGATCTACTGGCAGATCCCTCAATCTGGAGCCTTTATTTGTATTGGGAATGCTGTAAACAGACCATTTAAGTGATTGGGGTGGAGGGCACCACACACTGAGTAACTCTGAAACACCCATGCAGCTGTCGTTATGCTACAGAGGCATGCAAAGGTCTGCGTGTCCCAAGTCTTTACAGTAGATACTTTTCTCCACCAAAACGCATTAAATACCTGTTTGATTTCTCACAAAAAAGCAAAGTTTGACCAGTGAGCAGCTGAAAATTTCACTGTTCAAAAAACACATTTTTCTTCTATCTTCTGACATTAAATCAGACAAAACTTTTACAGTTTTAGATCAGTTTGCATTGACAAACGCATTTTTATTTTTAGTTGAGGGATTTCTTTATGCTCAAATTATTATATGCATTGATATCACTTGAGTTAAATGGAAGTATTTTCAGGCGACACTTAAAAGTTGCTGCTTCCTTGTGGAACCTCAGGGAGAACTCTAGAAATCAGACAACATTTCAGTAAGACTTTTATGGACCTTCAAATAATCTAGTTAATACAATTTCCAGATGTTGCAGTTCAACAAGTTTTGGACTGAAACACATGAATCTGCTGCAGAACTAAAGCTAAACAGCCTGTAAAGATTCTGGCTGAAGCTGGTGAGAAAGCATCATTATGTACAAAGAAAAGAGTCTGGAAGAAAAAAAAGCCAAAAATGAAAATCATCAAAAAGACAGATTACAGTTTACTGATGGATTTAGGGGAAAACAACCTCATTTTTGAAGACATATTTAGAAAAAATTAGAATGAAAAAAACTGCTTGGAAAGCTAAAAAAAAGTTGGGCGCAATGCTACTAGAGTTGCTATTGGTTGTTGTTTGAAAGCAGCCAATCTAGAAGCTCCTTTCATTTTCCTTGACCCTGATTGGCTGTTTCTCCAAGAGCGGAGATACAGGAGATGTTAGCTTCTAAATTTGTGTTAAGATGCTTTCCGCTGCGCATATTAAGGTATATTTGGTGTTTGAGATATTAAAATTAGCAATGTTTTTAAAGATTTTAGCTATTTATGGTCGCTAACCCATGTGAATCCTGGGAAATATGTTTAGATTTCTAAATTCTAAGAAACCAAACGATGTATCTAAACTTCTCTATTCGCTTTGGCATTCAACTATTAGAAATAGCTAGTCAGGTGATTTAATTCCAGATCATTTAAAACAGAAAGTTTAATCAGATTTAATGTCTGACAGTGAAGAAAAACGTGTTTGTCTTTTCATGAATAGTCTAAGTATTTGGTAGTTCTTTAAGACCGACTTCTTTACAGTTATTATATGAAGAAGCCACTTTGAAAACATATTAAAAAATGTTTTCCAGAAAAAGTAAACTCTTCCTTATATACGTATTGTATATATTGCATTTTCAGATATTTAATAATAATAAAATAAAATAATAATAAAAAGAGAAAAAGATGTTGCCTTTCTGTATCAATAATTAATGCTTACTATCCTACCAGTACTAACATCTGTTTAGTATTGGTACTAAATATCGTCACAAATCTGGACAAATGTAAAAACCAAGCAAATGTCTGACAGAGAATAATACTGAGTGATAATGAAACCATCATGAAAATGTTTTCAGTTTGAAAAATAAAATAAAAAACGTTGAAAAAAAAAACAATATAATACTATTTAAAGGAAGTATTACTTAAAGTTGTCTATGAAAGATGTGTAATTTTTTGATTAAACTATTATTTTCTATTATGTCTTATTAGTGATTTACAGTATATTTGACAGGTTGTACTGTGCACTACATCAGCAGTAACACCACTAGGTCCAAAGAGCTGTTATCTACTGATAGCAGCACTTTCTGCCTATGCATAGAAATATTCACATGCATACACACAAGCATGCAGTGAAATCAGAGCACGACAATAGGCCACTACCCAAAGCTCTCCTTTAGCCTATGACTCATCCTCCAGCAGGCTGCCTCAGCTTTAAGATGCAGGAGAGGCCAAACCGCCGCTTCAGTACAGCAAAATCACACGCCACACATGAAAATGCAGACTCTGGGAAACCTAACAGTTCCCTCTCTCTCTCTCTCACACACACACACACACACCCACGCGCACACACACACACACACACACACACACACACACACACACACACACACACACACACACACACACACACACACACACTTTCAAAAGATATTAACCACCACAGTGCACAAAAACACACACAATTTCCTCTCAACAGAAAAGACGGCATGTCTCCCATTAGTGGTCTTCCCAGCCTGCGGTCTACAGGAACAATTTCATCTCATTCCCTAATGGCTGCACTAAGACTCCAAGTTAAGGCAGCTTTTCCTGTTGAACGGCGGCTCAGAAAGCAGTTCAGACTCTGAGGTTTATCGTAACAGTGACTGACTGGGAAGAAAAAGAAGTTTGGAAACAAAACATTTTTTTTCCACAAAATTATTCATAGACAATAAAATTTCTGTCTTGTCATTTTAAATTCTAATAAGCTGCTGCTGGTCAAACTTAACGTTTACACTCGACAGATTTGCAATTATACACCCGTATATCTTTGAAAAGCAGAAGTGGAGCCCCTTGTACAACCAGCAAGAATGCAGCACATGGTTTCAGGATGGTAAGTCAACAACAAAACACTTGTTTTTTCCAGTAGTCATACTGGAAAAACAGCAGTAAAACCAGTTGACCAAATGTGATGGAGATCGGAAAACAGTAGACAGTTTTCCGTCAACTGTGACTCAACAATCGGGAGGTTTTTGAAATTTTCCAGATACCAAAAACATCAACTTATTTCCATAAAGTGGCTGAATGGGAATTTTTTAAAGCAGAATTACAAAAATGTGTAAAATGTGAATTTTGCATCCTATGTCCCCTTTAAATAGCTGAACTAGGAGACAAGAGGAGATTATAACAACAACTGTATCTACAACAAGAAGACAAGAGAAATGTGGTAAACAGAGAGAAAAAGCTTTAAAGATGATTTCTGTGGTGCCTTTTAGTTGCCCTAAAGCCAACAGTATGGATGACAGTGTTTAACGCTGGTCTTAAAGTTTTCCACAGCTTCAAAAGAAATATCTGTAAACAAAAAACAGTGAGCAGCTACTGCCATTAAATATGCTAAAACAGCCGACTTGCCTTCGGTTAACTTGGACTTAAAATAACCCCACTTTCCATTTTGAGCTTTTCATCTCAGCTTCAAAGGCACGCAGATCTCCATGGTTACCTTAGGATCCATATCCGGTGTGTGCTTCTGAAAGAGCATTTCCCCGCTGCGCGTTGAGGCAGCCTCTTTACCAGCGACATGGAGGATGAAATGTTCACCGTGAACATCTCGGACACGCCGTTGCTCCGGTGGCCGCTCTCAGACTCTGACCCTCCACACAGAGGAGGTCCACACATTTAGAAGCTCTTTTCTGGGGCTCCTTCCCCCTATCTCATCCTGGTGTGCTGTGATGAGAAACAGCTCCGAGGCAGGTCGCCATAGTTCACCCCAGTGCTCCACTTCCAGCAGGTTTTTATCCGTTTTGCAGAAACTGGAAGAAGATTCCAGCTCAGATTTAATCTGCTGTGATGCGTTGGTGTCTCCAGGTCTCTGCGGAGCGGCAGACCAGCATTCCTGACTGTCAGCTCGCCCCTCCGGAGACTAGACAGATAGATTCCCAGTAACTCCTGGATAACTTGCAGAAGGTTGAGCGGGCTGAGGTACGCGCGGATGACCTTTCGTCATGTCCAAGCCTTTGATTTGCTGATCTCATAATCAATGACCTGATTGACTGCTGGTCAGCAGCAAAGATTTCCCAACAGCAGGATAATATTTAGACTACTGTGAAATATTTCAGCAGATAAGACCACCTTATCTGAGGAGAATGTGTTTCTGTTTGTCTTGTGTATAACTTTATAATCAGAGTTGTGAATGTTAACATGTTAGTATGCGATTAATCTAAAAAGTTTAACATACTAATATCACACAATGCTACTAAGAAAACATTACAATTCAGAGATTATACATGCTTCTTATTATTGAACATGGGAACCAATATGTAGTTTTATACTTTTACTATTTGTAAACTAATTATTTCGCTCTTGCTTTTCTTTTCTTTTGATTGTACTTTCTTTAACTCATGTAAAGCACTTTCAATGGCCCTGTTGCTGAAAATGTGCTATATAAATAAAAATACCGTACAAGAATCAAGTCATATTACAAAAATAAACTCGTCAGAGAATAAAGGCGATCAATACTACCAGTATAAACTTGTACAAGAATAAAGTCATAATATTAAGAGCATAATCATAGTATTATGAGAATAATGTCAAAATTACACGAGAATAAAGATGTAAAAGTATAAAATTTCATATTTTGAGTATGAAGTCATAATATGACTTAGATCACCTCAATTGATTTGTATTTGATGACGATTTTGACAAAATGTAATATTTGTTGCTTGTTTCATTATTGATGACTGTGCAAACTCGACTTTATTCTCATAATATTATGACTATATTCCCTTACAACTTTATTTATGTAAAATTATGACTTTATCCTTACAATTGTATTTTTTCATTTTCTTAGCTGGTTTAAATACCCCGTCATTTAATTCAGATTAATCACAGTAGCGAAGTTGACCTAAAAGCCTCTCTTCCGTTGAGGGTTACTCAGTTCAAAGCAGCGCGTTACATGGTCTTGTACTCCGTTCAACAAGGTGGTTTTACAAACGTGCCTAAAAAAATGAGTGAGGAGAATCGGACTCGTGTGCTCAGTAGCAAATTTCACTTAAAAACACAGTTATTAAATCAAGCGCCCTGCATGCAGAGAATTATGTCCTG